TAGAAGAAAGTATTCTTGTGTTGAGGGAGTACTTGAGTGGAGGCCCAATGTAGGACAACTATTTTCTATGCATGTGATAGGCCCTTAGGATCGCTCCCTTGACGTGTTCCTGCGCTGAGAAAATAGGATTATCTGGGTCTTACAACGCTGGGAAAGGAAGCTACCTCTGTTCCAACAGCTTGTAGCTGAGCCAGATAAGAGATTGATGTGCTTGCAGGAAGTAGAAAGTGGGTTTCTCTCAGCCAGAAAGGCCGTTGGGAAGGAGCAGGAAGGAAGAGAAAGCTGAAGTAGGATAGGTCAGAGAAAAGAACTGAAAAGGCCAACGGGGACCCTGGACTGACAAGGGGGACACAGCCTCTGCTCGCCAGGGGCTAGAAATACTGAGAAACATCCCTTCACCACTGACGAAGGCAGGGGCTCAGAATCTAGCGTTGCCTCAGTTATCTAACGGGGTATTTTTACACACCTTCTCCATTTCATAGCAACGTCTAAAGCCCATGTACCGTACATCCTTGAGTATAAGCCAACCCGAATATCAGCCGAGGCACCTTATTTTACCACAAAAGCTGCATTAAAAATGTGCAGAACAATTCTTCTTATACATGAGTATATGCGGTAATTTCTAGCTCTCTTTGCTCTGAATATTACTTGTCAATTCCCTAGCATGGTGACAATTGAAAAAGTAAACTTTTAAAAAAAAATGTGTTTAGTGAGACCAACTCTGGGTAAACCATGTGAAGAAACTTGCTGGGCCTTCGAAGGTTGAAAGAATGTGCATGGAGAACTTAAAAAAGGAGCCCAGTGCAGTCATGGTGGTCTGGATAACTTCCCTCTGCTTTACATCGAAGTCTCGTGTCCAACTTCATTTGACTTCCAGCTTGGCTCTGTAGTGTTCTGCCACTCACGGGATAGAGAGACTCCAACAATAAATGCATGAACCCAGCAGGAACAACCAACTACGGAAGTGTATGCATTACTATTTTGCGATTTCTGATAGTCTTCATTGGAAATGTTTCCTTGGATCACGGGCTCTTTAATTTCCTGATCACTGACTCAAACTCATTGCTATCGAGTTGATTCCGACTCATAGTGACCCTTACAGGACAGGGTAGAACTGCCCCTGTGGGTTTCCACGGTTGTAATTCTTCTTTTAAATTTTTTGGCTGTAATTCTTTATGGGAGTAGAAAGCCCTGTCTTCTCCGGTGGAGTGGCTGGTGGTTTTGAACTGCTCACCTTGCAGTGAGCAGCCATTACACCACCAGGGCTCCTGATCACTGAAGCCCATACGAATTTATTTTCCTTCCATTTCTAGCACAGCTGCTGCTGCTGCGACCATTTCAGAATGCCCAGAGGATGCAACGTAGTTAGGGTGATAGAATCTCAGCCATCTCTTTCGTGCCTGAAGCTGGTCGCTCTTCTTGCCTCTGGGAATTGTAATCTTTGTATGGTAGAGTCGTTAGAACAAACTAACATAGCGGGTTACTCTTTGGGCTGGCGACCCCAACTGTAAGGTCAGTAGTTTGAAACCACAGGCTGCTCTGTGGGAATAAAAAAGATGATGCTTTATACTCGCATAATGATTTACAGTGTCTGAAAGCCCGTTCACTCTGTTCTACTGGGTCGCTGTGAGTCTATATTAACTCGATGGTGGTGAGGGAGGGGGTTTACAACTATGGAAATTTAACATCTCCCTCTCAACTCTAGGCTTTTTGGACACCTTCTTGCTGGGGTTCATTTTGTGGTACTTCCCTTTCAGGAAACCACACAACTTCACACTCAACAGTTATGAACTGGCCACGACACAGTGCCAACACCTTCCCACTGTCTGTGCAGCGTGAATATGCCTCCAGTGCCTTCCCAAAGGGCAAGGGTGATAACAGGTGACAAGAGGCTAAGGGCTATTATAATTCTTTCTCAGATTAAAAAAATACTTCATTTTACCAAGATGCTGAATTAAGAAACGACAACTCAGACAGTTCCCTTTCCACAAACCTCCCTATTTGCCGAAGTCCAGAGAAGCTGAGATCGAACCTCTTCATGACCAAAGTTTTTCCCTACCATGTATACGTGAAAGTACGTTTTGAAATGCTCTCGATTTTTTTAACATGCTAATCTCTTTATAATCAAAAAGGAAAAACCTAGCAAATGTAAGTTAAGACGCCCTCAGAACTACCGCCCTCAGAACTACCGACACAGAACTGCCGAGAAAAAACCCACATGCCCGTGTTCATTTGGACATTGCAGTCTCCATGGTCTCTCGTGTGCACAGAAAGCCGCACGCCCAGTTTAGTGCCTTAGGGCCCAGGGAACAAATGCCTGTTTAGACTTCTTGTAGAAAACGGAAACATCGACTGAGAGATGAACCCCGACGATTCCAAAGTGGAGAGCGTGTGGCACTGAAAGACTAGCCGCGCTTTCCTCACTCGGTCTGCATATCAACGTCTGCAATCTACGGGGTAACGTGGTCTCAAGCAGCCGCTTTCAGGCTGGAAGCAGAACTAGGCTCTGCTATTGCAGCATTCCCCGAAGAGCTTAATGGGTCCCCAAAGATCTTTCTTTGGCCATGTGCTTTATCCCAGAATTCACATAGACTCGGCAATAAAGGGTGCTGGCTATTCTATAGGCTATGAAAATTACTAGACAATGCTTAATTTCTGAACCCCCTACGGCCCACCAAAGAACATCATTTGAGCACAACTTAATGGCTCTTTTCATTAATAAATGATTCAAATAATGATTCTTTTTAACTTAAAAAACTCCGACTTTGAATGACTTGAACACACTTAAAAGGGGGGAGGGGTGGCGCAGGTCCATTACGGCACCGTGGTGGCATAATGGTTAGAAAGGCTGGGAGTTGGAATCCACCCAGCGGTTCCACAGGAGGAAGCCCTAGCCATCTGCTCTTATGAAATCCCAGCCTAGAAAATGCTCCCGGCAGTTCTACCCTGACGTGGCGTTGAGAGGAGCCAAAATCAACTCCATGGCACCTAATTCCAGCAATGACAACCAATTTATCAGCCAGCTCTTAGGAAAATGTGTCGAAGGGATCAGGGATCAGGCATCCAAGAGCCAAAAAAATCACAACACTGTAAATGAGGGGAAGTGAGGAGTGGAGACCCAAAGCCCATCTGTAGGCAACAGAAGGGTCTCAGGGAGGAGAGGAGCCAGTCAGGATGCAGTATAGCAAAGGTGAAACATACAACTTTCCTCTAGTTCCTAAATGCTTCCTCCCCCCCACTATCATAATCCCAATTCTACCTTACAAATATGGCTAGACCAGAGGATGTACACTGGTACAGATAAGAACTGGAAACACAGGAAATCCAGGACAGATAAACCTCTCAGGGCCAATAAGAGTAACGATACAAGGAGGGTAAGGGGAAGGTGGGGGAAAAAGGGGGAACCAATCACAAGGATCTACATATAGGCCCCTCCCTCGGGGATGAACAACAGAACAGTGGGTGAAGGGAGACATCAGGCAGAAAAAAAAATAATTTATAAATTATCAAGGGTTCGTTAGGGAGGGAGAGTTTGGAGGGAGGGGAAAAATGAGGCGCTGACACCAAGGGCTCAAGTTGAAAGAAAATGTTTTGAGAATGATGACGACAACAAATGTACAAATGTGCTTGACACAACGGATGTATGTATGGATTGTGATAAGAGTTGTATGAACCTCCAATAAAATGATTAAACAAGTAGAAAATATATATGAAAAGGAAATTAGCTGTGACTGAGTGGATTCTAACTCACAGTGATCCTAAGGAGCTGTGGTTGCATAGTGTGTTATACATTTGGCTGTTATCTGCAAAGCCGGCCGTTCCAACCCAGCAGCCCCTCCATGGGAGAAAGCGAAGCTTTCTGGTTCGGTACAGATTGATAACACCGGAGACCCGAGCGAGCAGGAGCTCTACTCTGCCCTACAGATACCATTCCTATGAGTTGGACTGGACTCAATGATAATAGACTTTGTGAAAATTAGAATGTTAAAATTCAGCGTATAACGGATAATATTCTCTACGTTAAAAAAAAGCCATTCAGAGTTGGAACTATAAGGAGACATCACGAAAGGGACTGGTACTTCTAAATAAGTTTTATTTTCTCTTTCGGGTATCTGGCTATTCTCAAACTTCCTACACATGGTACATGACGGGGCTTCAAAAAGTCTCTGGAAAAATTCCATTATTTTTAATTCCATTTTCCCACTAACTTTTAGAAGGCCCCTTATATACTAGTATGCAAGGCAAAATACTTTAAAAAGTCCTTAAATTACAAAAAGGATTATTTGTAGTTAGCGTGGGGAGGGGAGAACATCAAATTTCCCTTTTTCTCATTCATATTTCTAGAATTCCTTATATGAACAAGCTAAATGGGGGTGGGGGATTCACAGGCCAATGGAACAGTTCAAATGTAATCCAGCTCTTTTGTTAACTTGCTGGTTTGTCCTTGTTGTTGTTTACTTCCTGCTTGTGTTTGTGTCTGATTTTCTGTATATGGAATCCAGGACAGGTAAATCTGTAGAGACAGTACTGGATGGACGATCACCCAGGGGCATCGTGGCAGGGGAGGTTGGGGGGAACCAGGGAGCTAACAGCGGTGAGGGCAGAAAGAGAATGTTCAGAAATTGATTGTGGTGCTGATTGCATGCCTCCTTTTAAAACGGTTGAATGATTAAATTGTATGATCTTCAAAGTATTTATGCCAATCAAACAATCTTAAAAAAACACAAGATTCCTGACTCTAGCTTAAATGGAATGTAAAAATATCTTCATGTAAGCAACTCCATTGTGTGTGTGTGTGTGTGTGTGAGAGAGAGAGAGAGAGAGAGAGAGAGAGAGAGAGAGAGAAGTTCTGTCCACCCCCACTTATCCCTCTACTTCCAACAGGAAGGCCCCCTCTCCCAGCACCACATGCTCTCGGTGGACTAGTCTGGACCGGGGGCTGGAGACCACCAACATCGCCTAGAATCCAAGCACCCTCTGCTCCTGCATGTCCTCGGGCGACGGAGCTGGAAGCAGTGCGCCCGGGTCCAGTTTCTGAGGCATCTGGGTACGCTCTGCTGCAGAACAGTCCCACTTACCCAACGTTTTGTAGTCATCTCTAGCTTTGTTTGCTCTCAGCAGCGACTGAATTTTCACAATTTCGTTTTTCTGTAAAAGATTGAGACAAGGCATCACATCCCTGCGTCCCATCTTCCCCTCAGTGGAACGCCACCAGTATGGCGCCCCGCTGTAGAATGGACGGTATTCAGACGTGGTGGACACAATGCTTGCTTCTCCATTCTCCTTAGATGGAAAGATCAGCTAAACTACCAAAGAGTCTGAACAAGATTGTGGGTAGGCTGCTTACATAATCTAAGAAGGGAAAACACTTTTAGCATAGAAATTAGATGATCCAAGCTACGTCCGCAGATCTATGAAATTATTGGGGCAAGGGGGCGGGGTGCTCCTGTGGACTTCTATTGCAAAACCTGGACACACAATGTTGGATACGATTTCTCTAGAATCTTCTCCCTTTGGCATGACTAGCTATTTCAGACCCAGTCTTGACTGACGAGTCTCACCCCAAACATGATTTCCAAACAGAAAGATTTCCAAAAGACGACTGTTGCCTTAGGCTTGATTTTTTTCTAATGGCATCTATGTCCACCATCTAATTATTGAATACAATTAGTCAATGCCAACACTAAACCAAGTGTTCATTTAGTTCACTCTTTTTTTGGGGGGGGGCAGGGCTGCTGGTGGTGGTTCACAAGATGCATGAATGTATGCATGGGCTTTATTTTTATTTATTTATTTTCCCCAAACCATTTTATTAGGAGCGAATCCAGACATCCTACCAGCCTGTAGTTCAATCACATCACATTCAGCTTACTCTCAGCCAGACTAAAAAAAAAAACCACACATGGTTTCTCTTACATGGTCCTCGAAATACTGTAGTCGTGAAAGGTAGCTCTTTCTTGCTGCTAACATTCGGAACCAGGACTGAATCTAAAAATAAGTTAGATAAATAAATAAGGATCATTACCAATCTTTAATACGCATATTTTAATGCAGTTTAAAAAAAAATAAAAAATTTTTATTTGATAAAAATGAACATTAACATCCTAGTAGATAATAAGCCCTGGCGGCATAGTGGTTACGAGTTGGGTTGTGAACCACAAGGTCAGTAGTTCGAAACCCCCGGTCGCTGTGCAGAAGACGGATGAGGCTTTCTATTCCCAGAAAGAGTTACTACTCAGAAACCCATAGGGGCAGTTCGACCCTGTGCTATGGAGACTCGATGGCAGGGAGTTGGGTTTTGGCTTCAGAAATAATAAGCATCTAAAGCCTCCTTCCCGTCTTCTCTTTCTTTCATTGCCTCTTCTCTTAAGGAACTCAAAAACACTAACTACCTAAGACTCTTAATCGTATGGCTTTGATACACAGTGCTCTTACTCGCTGCCTAAATAGGAGAGAGATGGAAAAGGTAATGTAGCTTTGTACTATTTGGCTTTTACATCAACAAATGAAACAAGAAGGCATAGCATTTTGCAGAGAGTTGCAATAAGTTGGGAGTCAGAGTAAAAGCCCGACTCCAGGGCTTCTTCAGTATCCTTTAACTGCAATCAAGATCCTTTAGGTTTTGCCAGAAAATTACCCAAAGACCTCAAGAGAGACTGGGCAGGCCAAGGCTTCCCTGAGCACAGGGTCTTGTGTCCATAGAGTGAATGGGCAATGGATCTAGACCATGGCCTCTTCTTACCTCCTGGCTTAAGAGGTCTTTTAAACTGGACGAGTGTGAACCCGATTCGGACCATGTGAGAGTCGGTGCTGCATCTCCTTTCCTGTCTCTGGCCCAGGGCAATCAGCCCAGGTGGCAAGCTGGGCGAGCCCAGCACCCCACCACAGGTCCTGAATGAGCTTCACTTCCTCCGTCATTGGATTTGCATGCTTTGCCTTGCAGTTCAGGTTTTGTGCTGTTCAGGTTGAGCAATCTAAATACCACTAGCTATTGCGACAAGCGGAACATGAAATAAATCCGGGGCTTCCCCAGGCTTTCTAGACAAGAAGCAATTATTGGGCACTGAGTCCTTGGCCTCTAAGGGGTAAACTTTGCGCCCCTCATGTACGTTGGCCATGTTATCTGGAGAGACAAGTCCTTGGAGAAGAACATCATGCTTGGTAAGTAGATGGCAGGAGAAAGGAGGAAGGCCTTCAAACGCGATGGCGTGATACAGCAGCTGCAACCGAGGGCCCAGGCATAACACCTGTGAAGGTGGCCCAGGCCCGGGTGGTGTTTGTTCTGCTCGACACAGGGTGGCTACGGGCCGGAGCTGACGGCACAGCCTCTCACAGCACTTTCCAATTGGGCTCTCATAACCAAGAACTGGGCTCGGTTCCAAGCAGTTTGATTGACTGGCTTGAAGATGACCAGCTAAGGGAGCAGTGCAGGAGAAACTCAAGCCCAGGACTGCCTTCCAACTTCAAGGTCAGCACTGTTTTTCAGAATCAAAACTAACACGAGGGGCAAATTTAAACCAAACCGCTCCTAAAACAGCAAAGAACGCTTACCTTCACAACAGAATCAAGATTATCAGCAAACATTCTCTTCATGTCAGTATACGCTTTGTGTTGTTTATAACCCTTCCAAAAAGCCTGTGGAAATAATCACGGAATGACTTGTCAGCAACACTTTCCCGGGATTCATGGAGAAAGGACAGGGTAAATCGCAGGGGGCACCGAGTCTCAGGTGACACTGTTGTGGACTCTCCCTCCAAAGCTCATCTGGACATCAACTCTGGGGGTGACCACTGAACCAGGCAGAAAGCGGTCAGCTCCCAGGGAAGGTGAATCCAAACTCAGGAAAG